GTTAGTATTGGTGCTCAAGATCCAACCATGTTTGGATGGGCCCAAGTTAATGTGTTATTGCATCATTTAATAAAGAATTCATTCTATTAATTCTTATGTTTACATGTTGATAAATTCATTCGAGTTAAATAGAAGTCCTTATGATATACATTTGCAAAAGTGATTATCAAAAGATGTGAGACCAATACTAATGCATATAAATGATATCATTAAATGTCTCAAGTTATAGCATTGTTGAGAATAGACATTGACAATATGTAGTTAGATTTGTGAGTGCTATGCTCATGCTATACGATAATAGTAGAAGATCTCACACCTATTGACATGGTGATGCCAAAGCAAGCACTTAGGTGATTTATGTTAGAGAACATATCACCGGACTTGACTCGCCATGAGAATCCATTTGGTTTTAGTCTATGGGAATCTCATACGAGATGGGTATAAATAGTCCTTAAACTTGAAGTCATCACGGTTATCTCATTGGAGGACTTATGCACTTTGACACTAGTTTTGATGGACTCATTAATGGGTTACATGTGGGCAATTCATTAGGTGTACTAGGAATCCAACGAGAGATAGGTGTATGACTAAGATTGGACATGTCATTCCTTGTATGCTAAAGGAGTTATCATATTGCACTTCGATAAATGTCTCGCTCAAGAAATTCATAGCTATAGCAGGAGTACGCCAATAGAGCATAGTTGGTTTACTCTAAGAGCTAAGACATTTAGGAATAGAAAAAAACTTATATGATCATAATTGAACAAGACTAATAACAAAGTATGAGATCACACTCGTGATAAGTTGACAAAGGAAAGCAAGTGGTCGCACAACAGGAGAAGCATGCTCGCCGAAAGGAACTAGCTAGAAAGGAAGGTTATCACTTGAGATCCTACCCAATGATAAAATTTAAGAATGAAGAGCAAGAAGCACATTATAATGTGCTAAAAGAGAGGAAGGTGATTGCTAACGGGTATGTAGATGTAAAAACTTTAGAAGTTGTAAGTTTGTTGGGAGAGGTGAAGGAGATGTTGGAAATGATTGGTTGGATAAATCTATTAAAGATGAATGCTCCCTATTTTAAGGAATTAACATGGGAATTCTTGAGTTTATTCTAGATGGAAGAAAGGAGGTAGCAAGATCGAGTCAAGTAGTGACCATTTTATGTTTTCATTAGCATACTAAAAGCATAATATGGGGGTTGACAAGGTGGTGGATTATTTTCATTAGCCGCATGAGGGTGCAAAGTTATTACCTCCGGGTTTTAAGAAACCCTTCTAAAGGAAAATTATAGATTCACCATTAGAGGTTTACAATTCATCCCGATCGAAAGCATCCGTCATGATAAACCCGACATGTTGATATAGACATTGGGTGTTGGCATGGACATTGTGTGGGAGAGAACACGAGTAATGGCATGGTAAGTAAAACTAAATTGGCCATCATGTTCTTCATCCATCAAAAGATGAAAGTGGACTTTACATATATTTTGGTGGATCGATTCTTAGTGTTCAAGAAGTCAATTGATGGAGGAATCATTATATGCGGTGCTCATCACCTATATTATGGAGAGAAAAAGGTTGTTTCATCGATACATCATAAATTTTACCCTAGCAAAAGGATTGGAGTGGTTTACCTATGAAAAACTAAACATTAATAGAGAAGAGAAGAGAAAAATATCTAATTTGGTCGAATAAGAGACAATAAAGGGAAGTCATGCAGTAGATGCCAAAGATGATGATGATGGTGAAGGCAACAAAGAGTCCTAGCCCCCGACCAAAGTCGAGCCTCGAGTGGATATGTGAAAAGAGTGAAGTAATTGGTATCATCAATGGATGATTTCTAAATGAATATAAATAGCCATTTTGGCATGTTCAACGAGCGAGAGGCGAGCAATGAACAACAATGCCAATAGTCAATTCGACCATCCGAGTGAGCAACTTCGGATGACAAACAACAATATTGTGCATGGATTTCAAGTTGTCAACAACCAACTTGGCCATCTCTACTTCGTCCGTACTACACAATTTCCATCACCACCACCGCCATACTAAAGGTGGTCATCTAGTTTGCTTTCTAATCCCTACTTTTACTTATTTTATATTCATTTCTACTATGTTTATTTATAAGCACATTAAGAGCAATGTTTGATTCAAGTATGGGAGTGCATTTAGCATTTAGGTTTATTTGGTTTTTATTTTTGTTTTGTATAACTTGGGTGTTTGTTTTGCATCCGTATATAAAAAAATATAAAACAAATGCCATGTTGAGTATGTTGTTCTTCTTAAATGATATGATGATTGAATTTAATAAAATTTGATGAGATGAGTGAGAATGTGTTGGGATATTATTGCTATAAAAGTGCATGCATACTAGCTTTATGTGTCTTCATGATAGAACATAATTTAGGAAGAAATACTAACTTTGAAAGAAAAGAAAACTCATTGGAAACTAGACCTAAGACTTGCTTAAATAAATGAGAAGTTCCAATTATTATTTGAGAAAAAAATATGGAAATCATTCCCTCGAAATGTGACCTAAGTAATTAAAAATTCTACTCCAATGACTTGAGTTATTTAGTAACTAGGAGTATCCATCCCAAATGTTTACTTTTACATCAAATGGTAATTTAAATTATGAATATGCAAAGCAATCTAGGTTCATGACTTGCTAAGTAACCAATTTACCTTCATCATAAAAGTTGATAGTCATGTTAAAAGGAAAGTGTCCACTTAGGAAAAAGCTATTAAGGCCTTGAAAAAAAAATAGGATGCTTCAAATGAAAAAAATTTGATTAAAGAAAATCTTTGTTTATTACCTTACTTGTAATGGTGGAAAAAGGGTAAAAGTAGAGTTAGTGTTGATGCTCGAATTATGTTTAGTTATGAAGATGCATAAATCAATTTAGAGACATGCCTTGATATGATGATAATATATTGAACATGATGGAGTTGACTATTAAATTTTGTGAATTCTGAATTGAGTATTAATGTTTGAAGAACAATCATATTCTCATGACATTTATTTGAATGATTTTGTGGTTTATCATCTAAAATCCCTCACGAGACACAACTCATCCACTAGGGGTAACCTAAGGGTTTAAAGGCTTTTTAAATATGCTAAATGCAATCGTTATTCCTAGAAAAGTGAGTTAGATTTTTACTTTACTTGTTTTGCTAGAGGACTAGCAAAGTTTCGAGTGTGGAGGTATTTGATGTGTGCATAATTAACATGATTTTTATGCTCTAATGTATTAAAATTTCTAGTAATTATTGTATAGTATTATGTTGTTTAAGAATAAAATAACAATTTTGATTTTTATAGGAAAACATCAATTTAACAAAGAAACCCAATTCAAAAGCAAAGAGAAGCTAAAAGGCATCAAGAAAGCTTAAGAAGACATACGATCATGTGTGATATAAGAAGAAATATCTATTGGTCATGTGGGACCATTTGAGCCTCCAAATGACATTCCATATTCTAGTCTTGAAAACTAATTTGAATCTCATTCGAAATCCAGAATAGTTATGGAGTTTAATTTATATCTAAAGTTTCAAAACTCTAATTAATGCAAGCCCAAGCCCAAGAAATATCTAAAAGGCATAACTATAAGTCTTATAGGCACTTGAATCCAAACTTGGTTGGTATCATGGAGGAATTTAGCTACAAAGTAGAATCCTAAGGCTAGGTGGACAGATTGAGTCTATATCGGTGTTTAGCTCATAACTTATAACTTATGCTGTAGATATCCAATTGATGAAAGACATAATGCATCAAAAGCTCGGACAAAAGGGTACAACTATCATAAAGAACACAAACCTAATTCAGCTCCGTATCAAGTTCATTCAAGTTGATTATTCGGAGACATAGGTTGTAGTGCAATTCCATATAGAAAAAAAGTTTATTACATGGTTTGAAGGCAAATCCACATGAGAAGAAGCTTTTACATAGGATGAAGCAATAAAAGACATGAGATGAAGTAAAAAAAAGACATATAGCCATGTGCCATACCTAAGCAATTAGCGTGATAGTTGTACACGATTAGAAGTGTGTTGTAACTTGACCTTTCGCTATAAATAGTAAAGCTAGGGTATTATTTATTTCACCCCTCGATTATTCTCTTCTCCTAGTAGTCACCATTCATAAAATTCCCTCTTTGTATTATGAGCAACTAAACTCTATTCTTGGTTAAATCAAGTTGAAGCTTTTGGTCAATCACTCGTGAGATTACTAGTTTTATGTCTAAACTTAACTTTATTAGTTATTTTATATTTTCTACATGATTGATTCATAGTTATATGATTAAATTAATTAGAGAGCACGCTAGTTGTTTATTTATATTACTTATTGCTAGGTAAGTATTTAAGTCCGTGTAATTATTTGTCTAATTTGCATATGGTAGTAACTAGGAGTTAATGATTAGTGATGCTTTCATTCAATTCCTTGGACAACATTAAACTAGGTTACATCTTCTTTAGTGCTTAGGAAGGTGGCTTAGCTTTACTTTTCTTTCTTATCTTAATGTTGTTATTGAATTAAATCTATCTAGTGTTTTGTAAGTTGTTCAATAGCTAAAGAATTAATTGAGTATCATATATTTAGTTAACGACTAGGTAAGGAAAGATTGAAGTTAACATACATGTTGTTGTCTTACGGTGAATATTCATGTTAGGATGAGTTAATTATTCAATTGATGATCAGCAATCAAACCGAAAGTGGATACTAAAGTTTAACCGAGGCATTCTTTATCATTGTTATTTTAATTTACTTTAATCATTTTCAAGCATTCCAAACATAAAACCACCCCTCTTACATGATACAAACACTCCACTAAAAGAAACAATCAATTAGGCCTCCTTCCTTATGGGTTTGACCTTTACTTGCCTTGATTGCATAACTATGATTAAAATCTCTATAAGAATACACATAAATTACTAATTTGTTAGTGGTACAAAATGTCATCAATAATGCTTTTAATGAGTATCGGGTGTTACAACTACCTTCCCCAATCTCTACTACCTCTTGGTTCATTCTAGCCTTTGAACTTGTTGTCTTGCTTATATTTGTAAAATTATCACTCCTATCAGATTTCTTTTTCTCCAAAACCCGGACTTCGTTCTCCTTATTCATCAAATAAGTCTGATTCCTCTCATTTTCATGCATTGTGGCTTTCTATTTCACCATGTCATTCATCATCCCCCTTGTTTTCTTTTTTCAAACGTCATCTATATGTCTAATTAGCCTACAACCTATGCAATACACCAAGTTCCTTTCATAATCAATCCTCTACCAAAACCCATGCTCCTTGGAGATACCAACCTAGATGTGATTTGGTAATGGATTTGAAATATCAACCTCCAAATACATTCGTACACGCATAGGGTGAGTTATTACCAATGTTCTTTCTTCTACATATAAGAACTAACCAATTCTCTCTCTTATAAACTTCAGATATGATGGAGTAAAAAATAAAAGAAGGAGCTAATAAAGGTGAACCCAAATAGAGAACAAAAGGCTATCCTTACAAAATTGAAAATCAAGATTCCACCTAAACATTTTGTACATACAATTTTGGATTTTGTGATCCTCATGTGTTAAGGCAAGGATCAAGTCTATTTCCATCTCTAATCATACCATCGTATGGTGTAGATCTAGAAGACCTATGATTGGTTCTCCCATCGGATTCCATTGACGTTGGATATTAGATTGGATTTCATTGATAGCTAGTCTAACTCTAGAAAATTTCAATATCGGCATGTTGTGGAATTGTTATGCTATTGTCTTGAGTTCTATCGAAGAAAATTTGCATGCCGATTCCGAGTTGATGATGATAAGCTATCGCAATGCAAGGGGGATATCCCAAAGAGGATGTGGTTTTTGTGTTTTAGATTTTGATACGAAGATGGTTTTTTAGGCTAACGCCTTGATATATGAGAGGGGTGGCATTGAATCCGGGATGTTTTTTCCATTTTTAGATATGAATTTCTTTGGTACTAGTATTAAAATAGGATTGGGGCATTTGCCACTCACTTTTATTGTTTGGTTTGTATGATTCACTAAAGGATTATGATTTCTAACAAAGAAAGTTAGAAATGGAGATGAATTCTTCCATCTTGATCCCATAAGGCCTCTTGCTATTGGTGGTTGTGCCCCTATGGTCGTGATGTGTACTTGTTCGGATTATGGTCTCTCACCGACCTAGAGAGGGGAAAAAAAAGGCAAAAAATTTTTTCGTTAAAAAGATAGTGTTTTATTATAAAAGGCTTTCAATAGGCTTAAAACTTTACTTGTTTTCCAATGGACTAAATAAAGGATTTTCATTCAAATAGAATTTAATAAACTTTAATCTTATGGATTTCAATTAAATTATAATTTATGCATCAATTAGAAATTTAGGTTATTTAATAAATTGGTAGCTAATTGATTAAGGCCATAAGGAATTATTAATTTGTATAATCCAAAATTTTAGGGAAAATAATGAATTTGTTATTCAACTAGTTTAATAAATTTAACCAAGAATAAATTGATTTGTTATGATGACGGCTAAGTTAATTATCCAAATTTTTATGGGAATAATTAAGGAAAATTACAAAGGAAAATCTTGTTAATTTAGTTCAAAGTATTGATAAAAAACATTAAAATTGAATTTTATAAATATCAATTTTTAGGCAAATTTATAGGTATTTATTCCTACATAATTTAGTGAGAAAAATTGTTATTAATTTAGTTGTTTCGAAAAAAAATTATACCTAGTTCTAAATAAAAAGTGGACCCAAAAATTTTAAATATAAGAGTTTCCATAACAAATATTAATTAGTTAGATGATGAATGGAGGCATGGCTTGATATTTCGCATTTATTTTACTTAGAATATGAGGCATTACCGATATTATTTCTAACCTATTAGGTCCTTGGTTAGGAGTGTTATATAGTGGTATTAGAGCAAATTTGACCTAGTAATATAGTTTAAGAGACCAAATAAGTACACATAAATCGGGTATTGGCAACAAATAAGTATATTTGATCGACTATAAATGCTACTTATGTTCGGTAAGTGTGTTTGACCTATATGTGTGATGAGTGACTATTATGTTTATTTGATTGAATTTAATTAGTAATGGCCAACTTATAGATGTGCAAATACATGCACATATGTGACATGATACATGTTTGGATATGTGAATAAATTAGGATATGCCTAAGAGGAACAACAATAATGAAGTGGGTCCGAGTAGGAATGCATCGAATTATGAAGACCAATTGATGACGCTCGCTTAAATAGCGAGCAGGAAATGATTCAAAGGTTAATTGATATGTAGCTACTGAATCTTGTGGTGGCTAGACCACGGTAACTTGCCAATGTAGTGAAGCATTTTTGAAAATTTAATTCGAAAGAATTTTAGGATAAGCTCGACCCTTTGGCTATTGAGGAGTGGCTAAAATCTATGAAGATTATCTTTGATCATATAACCATAGAAGATGTAGATAAAGTGGCCTATGCCATCTTCATGCTAAGTAGTGACACTCATATCTAGAGAGAGTCGACTAAGATTTCCTTGAATGTGCCTCATCTCACTTGGACTTAATTCAAAGAAGTTTTTTGAGAAATATTTCTCTAACACTCTGTGAGGACCAAGAAAATTCAAGAGTTCCCGAAGTTGGAATAGGTTATATGTCTATTATAGAGTATGACTAGAGATTTGCACATGCATTTTGGTTTGCAATATTTATTTTAGGCAATGCAACATAAAATAGAGAGCATTTCTTTCGAGGCTTAAAGGTAGAAATTCATAGCTTGGTCCGTGTATTTGCAATTCATTATGTCGAGATGGTCGGTAATGCCTTTGAGATTAAAGCCGATTAGAGGGAGTGGACTTGATTTTCATAAGGTAAAAGGCCAAATATTTCAAATAATTTTGATAGATCATATGGTAAGAGAAATCCATTTACGAGCCCATGGTAGGGTAATACCAAGAAAGCTAAGGCTCGGAGAAATAGTTAAATGTGTAAGTGAAGGACAAGTCGAATTGTCCAAAGTGTGGCCATTCTTACACTAGCAACTACTTGATTGGGCCCAATGTCTATTACTTTTTGTAGAGAGGCAAGGCATATGGCTATTGATTGCCTTAAAAGGGAAGTTACTTAGAGAGTTCCGGAATGGGTCTACACCATGACTCAAGAGTAGGTCGATAAGGAGCATGCCACCACTATATGCAATAATGTTCTAATCTTTAGCTTTACTCCATATACTTCGGTTAATTTAGGTACCATCCATTCCTTTATTTCATAGTTGTTATTGATGAAACTATGCATGATACCTAAAATGCTTAATATAGTATATATGGTGGCTCTTTCATCAAGAGGTTCAATGAAATCGACGAGTATCGTTAGGAATTATGAAATTCTAATTGGTGATAATATACTAAATGTTGATATAATAGCATTCAAGATTAAAGGTTTTAATATTAGCTTCGGCATGGATTGTTTGTCCAAGTATAGAACATCAATATATTTCTTAGTCGGGAAAGTGGTATTTCATCGACTAGGAGAAGAACCATTCGAGCTATCGGTCAAAACTAAAGTAAAACTAGTAACCATCGTTTTAGCAATGACAGCCTAGAAGATGATCAAAGTTGATCCAAGATTACAGGATATTGAGGTAGCGAAGGATTTTTCTAATTTTTTCCCAAGAGTTTATCAAGATTACCACCAAGAAGAAAACTTAAGTTTGAGATTAAACTAGAATTGGGAATAATGCTAATATTAAAGTCACCTTATAGGATGGCTTTAGTTGAATTAATGGAGTTGAAGACCCAACTATAGAAATTATTGGATAAAGGATACATTAGGCCTAGATATTTATCATAGGGAGCACCGAGCATTGTTTGTTAAGAAGAAGGATGGGTCACTATAAATTATGCATTGATTATCGAGAGTTAAGTAAGGTGACAATCAAGAATAAATATCCATTTCCTTATATTGATGACTTTTTTCTTATTAGTTAAAAGGGAGTGTGATATTTTCTAAAATTGATATGCGGTATGGATATCACTAGCAGAGCATCAATGAAGAGGATGTAACGAAGATAGCTTTTAAGACTTGATATGGGGATTATGAATTTTTAGTGATGTCATTTGGGTTGATGATTACACCGATCGTATTTATGGACTTGATGAATTGAGTGTTTCATGAATACTTGGACAACTTTATCATAGTATTTCTTAACAATATTCTAATTTATTTCAAAAGCCATACGAGAGCGTATGGAGCACTTGTAAAGGCACTCCGGACGTTGCGCAAACATAATTTTATTCTAAACTTAAAAAGTGTGTATTTTGGCTCGATTAGGTAGCATTCATTGGACATGTAGTTTCCAATTATAGGATTATAGTGGATACCATTAAAGTATAGCTAGTTAAGGAGAGGAAACGATCGATGAAAGTATCCGAAGTTAAAAGTTTCCTTGGAATGGCGAGCAAATAAGATTGCTTTTTATTATCACTTTGGTAAGACAAATATCATTATAGATGCTTTAAGTTGGAAGTCGATGGCAGTTTTGCAGGAAGAAATTATTAGAGCTATGGAAGGACATCGGCTAGAGGTTATACTAGGATGAACCAACGATGGTTTATTAATTGTGTTGGTATTAAAACCATATTTGAGACAAAGGATTAAGGACGGACAATTATAGGATGCCAAGTTTCTAAAGGTATATCAAGAAATGGCCAAAGTGAAAAGGATCAAATTTTTCACATATATTAATGGTACATAACGCTAACATGGTAGATTATATGCACCCATAGTAAAAGAACTACAACATGATATTTTAAACAAAACTCATGCCACGCCCTACTCCATCCATCTAGGAAGTAATAAGATGTATCAAGACCTAAAAAATATTTATTGGTTGAGAGGGATGAAGTAAGACATTGCTGATTATATGGCAAGATGCTTGACATATAGCAAGTCAAGGTGGAACATCAAAGACCTTCAAGACTCGCTAAGGCCACTAGATATTCCCAAGTGGAAATAGAATACATCACTATGGACTTCATATTCAAGCTATCTAGATCCGAGAAAGGAGCCGATGATATTTAGATAATCATTGATAGAATAACCAAGTCAGCTCACTTTTTAGCAACTAAGTCCATTTATTCATGTAAT